TCCTCCAGGAAGCTGGGGATATCACTGTCTGTTGGCTGAAAGCTGATGAGATCCGAGTGCCCTTCCTCTTCCATCAGCAGAAGGCCCTCCACATCATCTCGAGAAACTGGAGCAGAGAAAAGCAGCATAAATAATAAGCATAAACCTGCCTCTGCCACCCACGTGGTATATTCACATGGCACTGCAGAAGCCAGGAAACGTGAGGCCTGATTTTCTAGGTTAGCAACACTTAGATCCCACTCAGTCATCTAAAATGCAGTATTTTTAGATGACTAATCTGCTTAGAGGTAGATATGTGAGCCTAGTCTCTGCTCTTTTGAGACACGATAGTTTATCGGTTCTGCTCTCTTTCTTCTCCTAGGGGAAGAAGAGAGTAAAGAAATACTACCTGAAGTAAGAAAAAAGATTAACGCACAGGCAAGAGACCCTCAGTGGCTTGACCAGGGCCCCAGCAAGAACCAAAAGCACTAATGAGCAGCTGTAAAATCATGGCAGCTGGTGCACAGAAGGATGTTTGTTTCCAACAACTGTGGTACTGACTGGGTAGAAAGGCTATAAATGTAAGGCTGTCTCGCTCACACACACACCCCCCTCAGGCCCATCCAGTTCTGTGCTCAAACCTCTGAAGGATCAGGTATCTGGTGAGGACACAGGAACCTAAGAATGGGTTTAGAAGAACCATCCAGGAAACACGTGGCATTCAAAGTGGCTTAGGCGCAGTTCTCTCACCCTGATGTAGGTCATCGTGCAGAGAGCCAGCATGGCTGGGGCTAGAGGGAGGAATCTCTGAGCCAGGCACATCACCATTAGGCGTTAAAGATATGTGGCAATTCCAGCCGGTCTCAAGACCCATCTTCTCAGCAAACACCTGTAGGTGAGCAGACAAAAGATTTTAGTGTAGCTGTCCAAGCCAGAGTATTGCAGACCAATGCCATATTGGAGCGTAGGTACCTTCTGGACCCATTAGCTAGCTGAATCAGATTAACCTTAGATTGCACTGGAGCTAAACTGTCCAGTCAGACAACCAGGGGACATGCAAGTTCAGGGGGTTCCGTGAAGACAGCTTACCTTGCTTTTGAGCTCATCTTCCAGGGAGAAGTAGACAAAACGAATGCAGGCATTGACCAATCCATCAATGAGGCGGACAATGTCAAGACGGGCCTGATACTGAGATGAGACCATTCCCATGAAGATCTGTCCGCTCAGAGCCTGGATACAGTCTTCCTTCTCCATCACTTCCCCAATCCCTTCTTCAGGCATGCAAACAACACGCAATCACATTGAGACCAAGGGGCCACATGTGCATCAGACAACAGCACACATGGTGGGAGAGGCCACCAAGATAACACCCAAGGACACAGTACCCAGATACACAGAAACATGCAGATATACACACACATACAGGAGGAGAGATGAGGAGATATCCATTTGTCCCAGCATACCCAGTCACAGAAGTGGTTTCAGGACATCCCCACATATGCGACCAAGAATACAAGCATGAAACAGCAAGCATGGAAAGGGAAAAGACAAAACAGAAGATAGGAATCAGTCACAAGGAACTGGGGCAGAAAGGTAAAGGATGTATGCTGCATAATGTTCACTTGTGCATTTTAAACACATCATACTGTGCTTAAACAACATGGTGAATCTGGCTGAGGCAGAGTGGCATCAGAGTATGAGGGGCTGATGCAAAGGAACTGGATCATGTTCCCTCCAGTGACATTGCAGGCACTCCCAAAGAACCTGCAAAGGCTCTTTGACAGGGTTCCTTCACCATCACCAGATCAGCCTGTTGTGAATGGGAGCTGCAGCAGCATGAGAAACAAAATAATAAAACACTTCACACAATTACAAAGCTTGCCACAGGTGGGACTGAAAAGTGTTTTGAAAACACTCAGTCACAACTGCCTCCCAGCTGTTGGAAACCCTATTATTCACATTTTACAGAATGGGAGACCAAGGCAGAAAGGGACTAAGACTGGTTTTCTAAAAGAGCCTCCTGGAGGCTATGTAATGGTATGTGCTTATTTCTCAGTTTCCATTGCTGTTCTGGAGAAGATGTACAATTCACCTAGTGGGAATCAGGTCCTTCAGCAGAGCAACAAAATCCATCAAGGGAGAACAGTCGTGTACCACCATACATTTAATTCCTTTGAAAAACCCAACATATGTGATTTCAATAAAATTAGACAAATAGCAAACCAAGTACCAAAATACCCAGAAGTCTTGACTCTCAGCTGCCTGCTTTAAGAAACAGACTTCTCACAAGTAGAAGAATTTCTTTGCAAGCTTCAGTAACTTAACTAGAAACATACCTACCAGCTGCTACATCATTACTTCCTCTGGAAATGCATCTACTTCAGAAACCTTTAGTTCTCAATTTCCATCTGCTGCCCTGAATAGCAACATTCTGACAGCTCTAGACTGATCAGAAAGAAAGCACCTGGCCCAGCAGCAGACCTTGTTATAGACAGCATAGAAGACACATACCATCTGAGCTCCAGCTATTCCGCCGACTGCTCTGTTTGATGGGGGTTGTCCCAGGGAGATCACAGCATGTGAAGATAGCACTCTGCCCAGGTACCTGCACCAGTTCTATGCACTTGCCATTGAGTTGGGAGGACAAGGCACAATGCATTGGCTTGTATGCAAAGGCAGAACAGTATCCTGAGAGGCAGGCTCGCTGGTAGAAATCTAAGACCTTCTTCCTATGTGGAAGAGACAAAAACCAGACAAAGTTAGCAGAAACACACCGCATTTCTGACAACGTATACTGTAGTTCAATGTAGAAATCACCAGTTAGGTATTTGGAAAAATGTATTCCATGAGGAGTGGTCAGGGACTCTGAAAAAGCCCTTCCTTACTGTTTCTGCATTCTCTAAGCTGCAGGTACTACAGAGCAACAAAAAACATATTCCAACAGGGGCAGTGGTGAATGTTTCTGATTGCTCATCAGACAGATTGATGAGTATGAACACAGTACTCTTTGAATACACTTATTAATATAATATGCTCTGTATGGCTGCCAGATGATTCCAAGGAAGTTCACTGCATGACAACAGAAGCTTAATTCATCAGAGAGAATTTATCTGTAGGGAGATAAACACCAAGGAAGGAACTGACAACTCTGACAATAGTATCTATGGCAGCGATGGTTACAATAACAGACTTTTCTCCTATCCCTTTTCAGAGTTTGGGTCCCAGGAGCTGTATGTGAAGTCTCTATTTAGTCAATATTCAGTCACCAGAATAGTGTAAAGTTCCTTCTCTGTGGTAAACTCAGAAAGGTAACAAATTACACTATATATGGGATTTTTCATTGGCTTCTAAAATTATAAATATTCCAGAAAGGACCAGTGGGAGTTTTCTGACACATAAGCAGACTTAGAAAGAATAATATACTGCTATCCAATGAAACTAAACGTTACTAGTCTGCTCTGCTAGCAGGAACAGAAATTCAGCCTGCAGATGAAAATGCAACAGACACTGTCAGATACTGCAGCAGGGCTAAAAGGGTGTGATGCATTGTGGTGTACTGGTTTGAAGCTGTCAACAGCAGGCAGAATTGATCACTTTGCATTTCATATAAGACAAGGCATTTGTCTTGAACAACAAAAAAAATTCTCTGCCACCAGCATCTGACCCGATTATAATTCATGGTCCTACTACATAGTACAGTCAGAGTCCACGTATAAGAGGCTAATATGGTAGCAGATACAGTAAAAAGTGGCTTAGTCTTACAGTCCAACCTATTGCTTGTTGCTATCTAAGCTCTTACACTGCTATAATTATAACAATTAATTATAAGCAGAGATGGCTCATGTTCATAACCTACTTGAAACTTCTATTAAATAGCTTAACAAGCATCAGTAAAGAGAATGTTAACTAAGAATGACCAGGTTCCCTCTGCAATTTATCTGCAGCTCCTGAATGCACCAAATGACAAAGCTGCCCACCTGTCAGAGCCAGAGAGGGGGTAGATATCGGTACCGTCCCAAAAGTCTGTGCAGGCTTCGAGGATGATGTCAGCTGTCCCATGAGAAAACATCTGCTCAGTGCCTGAAGTGCAGGAGAACACTGAGTCAGCAACACACATACAGGCTCCCAGGAAAGGGATATCATACCAACTGCTCCCTTATTTGTTAAACGGAAGCGTTCCCACAAACTGCCTTGATGCACTCCAGATATCCCCTTTCCTCTGTTGAAAGTCTTCAGTCTCCATCGAGAAATGAATATTCAAGACTGGATGATATGTATTCAGCTGCTATGTGTCTAACCATGAGTTCAAACAAGGCTGTGATAAAATGTGAGCCACGTAGTCAGTTCCTATTCTCCCCTTACACTGTGTGACATTCCTGCTCCTACAGAAGGTGGGATAATATCTTGCTCCTGTATCCAACAGAGCAGAAGAAAAAATATTCCTGTCTGCTTCTTCTGATGAGAGTACAAGCACCAGTGATGAGTCTATGGGGATCAAAGTCTGCCTACACTGGAAAGTGTATTCAATTTTAGGCCAGGAGTGGATCAAAAGGGTAAGAGCAACAGTGTGACCCACTAGACAGCAGCCTGTTTCACAAAGGATCCTGAAAACATGTTAAATCAGGATGGGTCAAAAGTTCAGCATAACAGACTCTAAAAAAGTAACTCATGGTATGATCAGGGAAGAACTGAAAGTCAGCGGACACCACAGCTTCTCCTGCTTCCCCCCCCCCACTACTTTACTCTTTAATACAGACCTAAAACCTTTCATTCCTTCTTGTACACAGGGGTGTTAAAAAGTGCTTCCCAAAGGTGTGTGATGTTACTTGTCTGATGCGGGTCCCAGGCACAGGACACAAGTGAAAGGATGCGGGGCTGCCTGCCCCTCCACACTTCCTGCTCCCTTTCATTAGTACTGATACATTAACATTGCATGCACGTAGACTTCACTGTCTAGGTTCCCTCCTCCAGCTGCTCTGTGACTTTGCCCCCAACAGCTTCAAAGCTGATCTAATGAAAAAAACATCACTGCCAAGAAAAATGAGCCCAAAGACTTCTTGCAGGCATTGTTGCTGACTGCAAATGCTCACACTAGCTAGTGAAATCAAGAGCCAAGAATATCCACTCGCAGAAACCAGGCAGGGACCTTCAGGAACACTGGAGGATTTTCCAAAACATAGCAGCTCTCTGCTTTCTGCTATAAATAGTCATCACATGCCAAGTTTATCAGCATAACAAACCTCCAAGACGAATAGGAGCTGTGTGTGAAAGAAGGAGCCTGTTTCAGGGACACAAAGGAGTACTTGTGCAGAGCTCTGCTTAATTTTATTGTATAAACACCTAATCCTTCCCACCTTGCTCCTATGGTCAGATAGTCCTTGCTAGGAAAGAGGGAACAAGAGATGTTTATTGATTCGTGCAAAACATATGCCCTGGACACAGAGCAAGAGCTTGCAGATGACCACATGCACACACATACCTATGTTCATCCCTGACAGCAATTGAAATCCATTTCCCATTCAGTATCATCAGCATTCCACACAACAATCCTTCTAAGGGGTAAATGACAGTGACAGCACACACTATAAGCAGGAAGGAGTTCATTCAGCTGTCATTGCCAGTAAAGTGAGCTCAGCCTCTTCCTTTCCTAAATCATGAACTTGAAGGCCAGGATTTCTCTGGCACAAGGGAGAAAACTAATGAATAGGACAGGGAGTATGATTAGCCATTCATGACTGCTGGGACTCATTAGGAACAACCAAGCTGCTAGAGCCGAGCCAGAGCAAAAGGAATCTAAGAGTGCAGCTATAGCAAAGACAGACAGAGGTGTTATCAAGCCATTTTACTCCACTGAAGATGTTGGTGAGCCCCTCATTTCCATGTTGTTACTATGGATTTGGGATGAACACTGCCAGATGGTGAGACACATATTTCAATGGAATAGCAAGGGAACATACAGATAAGCTACCTCCTATTTCTGCTACAGCTGTAGAATTTATTATGTATCTCCCTTTCACTTCAGCACATCATGGGAGTGGGTGGATTCAAAGATTTATTCACAACTAATGTATCAAGAGAGGTTAGTTATCATCATCTGATCTGACTCTTCTGCATAAACAGGGACATTTGATTTCACCCAATATTATCTGCATAATCCATTATTTCCAGTTGTACACATTTTAGAAAGTTTCAAGGGACAAGACTATCACGTAAGAGGTGTTCCAATGGTTAACTAACCCTGCTGGCAAAATTCCTCTTAGAATTTATTCCAGACAGCATAATCCAGGTCACACATGAATTCGTCTGAGCTCCAGCCTCTAAACTAAACCGTTTAAAAATGAGGATAAGCAGTTGAAATGAGGCAATGTTAAAGGTCTTTCCC